CGGGGCTGGAGTCGCTGGTCGACCAGATCCCGTCCATCGCGGAGGGCGGCGCGGGGGGCGCGGGCGGCGCGGCGGGCGGGGCGGGGGGCGAGGCCGCCGCCGTGCCCTCTCTGCCCGACTACGCCCCTCCCCTTTATCCCCCCTACGGTGCCTACGGAACGCCCGCCTACCCAAACAACGGGTGAGTCGACTCGTCGCCATGATGCTTCGTCTGCGGTTATAACGTTTTTTTTTAGAATACGTTTGGCTTTACGGTGTGGTCGTGTTCGGCGGACAGGTACGGCGGACCGTTCGTGGGGTACGGCGGCGGGTGGGGCGGGCAGCTGGTGCGCGGCTACCTGCCCGACTGGCAGTACGGGTACGCGCCCGCCGTGCCGCCCGCCTACCCGCCCTACAACGCGCCCTACTACAACGGCTACCCCGCGCCGCCTCCCGCCCACCACCAGCAGGTATCTTCCTCAACTTTGATACTATTGCACCGATACAGACCTCTCAGTACTCACTTGCAGTTCTCCTCCAATTGAATGCACCGGTTGTTAAGCGAACGTAAATATGTTAGGGGAGACTTCGCATGTAGAAAGCGACGGGAGAGCCGCAGAGAGTGAGAGGGAGTGGAAGTGAGTTGATACATGAATGCGTGTGTTTGTCGTGTTGCAGGCGCACTACCTGTCGGCTCCGCCGCTGATCGACCTGCACAAGAACGGCGAGCACGCCTCCTCCGTGCCCTCCGTGCCCTCCGTCGGCTTCGGCGGCTTCTGCTAGGCTCCGGCCCCGGCCCCGGCCTCGGCCCCGGCTGGGGGCGGGGGGAGCGCGGGGCTGGGCGGGCGCTCGGCCGGGGCGGACGCGCCTCTGAATCTCTCGACGAGTGGTGTGGAGGCGGGCGTGGGTCGCACCACTCGATATCTCTAGTACTAAGTAGCGAAATTGAAACGCGCCCCTCCCCACCCCGCCCCGCCCCGCCCCTGCGCCGCCTTGAGCCGTCACTTTTGTAAGCGAGCGTTAGTCATGTAACTGTACTCTTTTCGAACCGATGAGCTTAATTTGTAGGATTTATTTGTAAATATTGTATGTATTTATTTCGGTCCGTGGTTTTTTTTGGATTATTTTAAATGACGCTAGAGGTATCGCAAGTTTCTCGCTCGCACTGAACGTTTCCTAGTTTCGGGTGATCGTTTACTTAAAGCGGTGGGCGTGTCGCGGGGCGGGGCCGGGGGGCGGGGCCAAGGGATGGACGGCGCTGTACTTAATTTATTCGGATTGTCTGTGATGTCTTCTTCGTTCCGTGCGATGAGTTTGGGAATGTACAGTAAAGTAATGGCGGCGGCCGCGCCGCGTGTAAACTCTTGCCAATGTGTTTCGCGTTCTAGTCACTTCTAAATCGTGTCGGCTAGTCAAATTTAAAATCTCCGGTGCCG